CTTTTAAAATAAAATAAAAAAATAATGGTGTTAGTGATATTTTTATTCTTGTTTTTCTTTTTAGGATATCATTATAAGTTGTAGCATGATAATAATGTAGTAAAGTGGACTCTAGAATATAAATGTTAGTATGAGCCATTGTTTTTATAATGACTATCGTGAGTCATACCTACTAAAGTATTTTTTAATGAGCCATTATTTTTTTTTTTGAATTGCGCTTGAAGCAGTAGTTTTTAGTGTTTGAAAAGAATTTTAAAGTACTTTATATTTGGTATTTAATTTGTAGAACGATAGGAATAAAATAATAATATTATTAAGAATTTGATTTCTGATACCCAATCATATACTGGGATTTTGTTAATTTAACAGTAGGTTCGATTTAATTTGATGCTTCTATTACATAATATGTATTTATAGAATAATCCTTCGCTAAAGAATAAATCATCAAACATAACTAAACATTAATTAAAATTACCTAGTCTATGCTTCAACTTTAAAACAATTTAGCCCTTCCGTCCGTCCATTAATTACACATCAAAACGTCAGCATAACTTGGAACTTGTTACAAAATAACACAATGGCAGTATCGATTGGGGGCTGAGACAAGCATGTGGTCGGTAGGTCGAAAATAGGGTGACAACTAGCCAAGCGGGATATAAAGGAAAGGGAGACATTGAGTATGATAGTTAAATCATCTCTCTATAAAGACGATGATTTGAATTTAGAATATAAATTAGTATAGACAGGCACATCAAGCTATTCTGAATCGTGAAGTTGATTGTTGTTAGGAAGATAATTGGGATGATGACAGGGTATGAAAATTAAAAATATAATTAGTCCGTAAGTTAGGTAATGAAAAAATATTAGACACGTATTTTTTATTTTGTCGTATAATAAAACAATACTTAGATGAAACGAATGAAAGTTTAGGAGCTGGGGCTAAAAGTTCATTTCTACGTATAAAATGTACATAGAAGTGACGTCACGCGACATTTCAAATCAATATATCGTCAAAAGTATTCGTTTCTGTAAGAAAATAAAAAATACGTGTATAATGATTTAAAATAATCTACCAGATGGACATTATAATAAAAATTAGGTATCTACCCTATTATAGAGGTATGTGTGTGTATCTGTACTGTGATAAAGATAAAATTCTGATAACTATCTCTCGAAAAACCTTATAATGTAGGTATACAAAATCATTATTTATTCACCCAACTCGGTCATTGAACTCAAGATCTCATGGGGAATTTGCATTTTCCACTACTAAACTAACGAGATTTAATAAGTGAATTATTAATGCGCGTCGTGTGTATCTACATATCTCAGAAATCAATTTATTTTTATACTGGTCATACAATTTCATTACTCTATTATAAAAATAAGTTAATTTCTGTAAGTTCGCGCCCTTTAAACAATAATTGTCATTAATCCCTCGACTTTTATTATGACAACCTCATTAGGAAGAATGGTGCAACGCCATCGCTGCACGGCACTATAAAAATAAAATACTCCATTAATTTTGTCTATGGCCCGAAACATAGAGGGTGTTTTTTTAGGGTTTCGTAGCCAAAGGGCATCCTACGGGACCCTTTAGTAAGACTATGGTGTCACGGGGACAAGGAGGATACGTAACATCGTTTGTTTAGAGAATCGTAATGTGTCAGTATTTTCGAAATGTTCGTATATATATGTTTGTTTTTTAAAATAGTCTTTTTTAAGTTCTTCTAATGCTCTCGCAAATATCAATATAAAATTACTAGCTGCTGCCCGCGACTTCGTTCGTGTGGAATAGTGATTTACAGATCCTCCCCCGTAGGTGATAGCGTGATAATATGTAGCCTATATGTTAAACCGACCTGTTAGTAATATTCATGCAAAATTTGAAGTAAATCCATGTAGTACTTTTTGAGTTTAGCCCGGACATGCATACAGACAGACAAAAATTCAATAAACCATATTTTTAGCTTCGGTGCCGTTTTTAGATCACACCCCAAGCATTCTTTTAAAAACATAATCAATGTACAGTTTGCATTTTCCTATGATTTTATCATATGTATAGATAATAAAAATACGTGGAGAGGTTTAGGATTGTTACATTGTTTAAACTTGTCTATACTAAATAATACTTATTGATAATATTAACTTATTAACTCGTCGAGTACCGGTTTTGTAGACACAATTATAGAACAATAGGTTGCGGTCACCGGTGACCACTTGGTGTTTGACAGTTTAATAATAATAAATACTTATTGATTAAACTTGTCTATACTAAAATACTAATATTGTAAAAAGGAATGAATTCATTCCTTTTTACTAATTAAACTATTAATTAAACTAACCTATTAATCTAGTTAAAAACAGAACAAACTTTACGGAACCCCTGACTTATAATGGTGTTTCGTACTCAGTCCATTTCCAAAGTGTTGTTTCTGTCACAATTTGAAGTGCTGCAAAGTGATATTTGAAAGGTTTAATATCTTGAAATAACAAGGCTACGTACACAAACGTTGTTTGTTTGTTTGTCCGTGCTCCGCGTGGAATATTAGATGTTATCCAATACCACGAATTGCAGTGACGATATTGCTATGTGTCCTCTATTTTGAGAGAAAATTGATGAGAATCAGTTGGGAATATTAAATGTGATTAGTTGATATTTTTGTGTATATTTTCTATAATAGTTTTGTTTTCACAAATAGAGTAAGTAAACCTTCCCACAGCTTTTTTGACGAAGAATTCGATTTGGAACTCCGCTGCGTATTGGCTACTAATGCATATTGTATTTTTTCGTCCATTGTTTCTTATTTATTTATTTATTCACAAACTGTACATAAGGTGAACTTAATGCCGCAGGCATTTTCTCCCAGTCTATTAACCAATTTGTTGTCTGGTCGTAAGAAATGGAAGCTAGTTGCTTTACCTATAGCTTTGATTGCGTTACAGTTTTAAATTTTTTTTTAATAGAAAAAATCTATCAGTCTTAAAACACCAGTAGGTGTTCTCCGGATGACGATGATGAAAATATTCGGTCCTGAATGTCGTCTATCCTCTACTCTATGCTCTCGTCTATTAGCGGGTTGGGCATAAAAGCATGACAAACAAACAAACAAAAAACTTTAATTAATTCTATATCATAGTGAACAGTAATAAGACTAGAAGTAACAATAGAATAATATCCTCGTTTCTCTATTATTAGGAACTGAGTACATTATCCAGATGCCAGCACATCAAGGTACCCACCAGTAAAGCTTCAATTGCGATCTTAATTCATAAGAATAAAGTCGAAATTAGACTAAAGATCGAGGCACGTTTGATGTGAATTTTTGACTGTACAGACACAATGACATTGTACACTTAAGTTCAGTTGTCTTTACATAATATGTACTTATTTTGATTTCATTCGGTCACACATCCATATATGTCAATCCAATGTCAATCTCAATGTCGATTTCGAATTCCAGTTCAAGATTATAAAGATGAAATCAACAATAATCAAGTTTTTATATTGTTCGCAGTGCAACAACATAACATAACATCACATTACGCCTTTCTTCTACGAAGAGGTAGGCAGAGGTGTACATTATGGCACTTAATACCACTGTACAATGTAACACCCACTTTTCACTATTTTATGTTATGAGTCCCATATAATAGGGGGTGAGCTTATTGCCATATACCGGGCACAATTCCAGACTTCGTGCTACCACTGAGAATTTTTAAATACCCAGTAATACTTTGCCCGGCCCGGGAATCGAACCCGAGACCCCTTGCCCGGCAGTTGCACTTGCCACCACTCGACCAAAGAGGCTGTCAGTAAGCAGTCAGAGGCAGTATTCGCAGTGCAATATCTAAAAATAAACAACGTATGCCTGCTTGACTACAAACTTAAATCTAAAAGTAGAAGATTATTATAATGTGTAGCCAAATGTTCAATTACTATAGATAATAGGATAGGATAATAGGATGTTATTGCCAGTTGCCATTTGTACGTATCTGATGACGTAATCCATAACGTTCACAGATCTAATTGTGGTTATGAGACCCTGGCGAGGCTTGAAACTGGTTGAGCTATCTCGTAAAATACTTTCAAACCGTTAAATAAATATCTACAATCAAGGACGGTGAAAGAAAGGCGGACGTAATGTCACTCAGAAATGATTGAAGCACCGAAATATCAGTGGTGTATTTATGTGTGCGTGTACCTACTTACATCACCGTAATGTATGAAATGTAATGACGGGTCATGTCACGCGACAATGTCCTTCGTGTGAATGTGTGTGTAAGTCTATAGTAGCCAGGTATCACAGTCGTTTTTTCAAGAGACTATTATTAATTTTTTTAATGTCCTTACCTTAAGTATAAGACATCTGAAGTTACGGATTTAATTTCAAATCCTTACTTATATTATAAATTGGAAAGTCAGTTCGTTTGTTTGTTCCGCTTTCACGCCGTAACTACTAAACCGATTGCTTTGAATTTTTGCAAACGTAAAGTTAGAAGTCTGGATTAAATAATAGGGTACTTTTTATCCCGAAATAATTTGATATTCCCGAGGGAAAACAAAAATATTGGTATAGATGGCGCTGTGTGTATTGGTATATAAATGTCACATAGGCTACTTTTTATCCTTTTGTGATGCGAGCGAAGCCGCGGGTAAAAGCTAGTTAAAAATGAACGAAACTGCGCTCTATATGACGTTATACAAAATAAACGGTAGTAAGTAGGTTTAGTAAACGTTGGCTTCATGTACGTACAGTGTCATGTTATTTACAAGCATATTAGCAGCGAACGATCCCCTAAACACCATAAATTAATTTGTTAGCCATGGCCGCCATGGGTGGCGTGCTTGTACTTTGATTCCATTGTTTGTGCATGTTGTTACATTACCTATTTGAGGGTAAAGTAGGGGGATTGGCGTCACGGAGAGATATAAATCTCACGATGTCGATACTTTCTTATTGTAACCAAATGTTAATATTTACTTTTATTTGTTACAGATTTCAATTGATTGTCTGTCGGCGTAGAATAACGGTAAGTTCTTTCTGTATCGAATCGTTCTGTATCTGTAAGATGATGATGATGAAGTGTGGGAGAGCCATGCTTCGGCACGAATGGGCCGGCTCGACCGGAGTGATACCACGGCCTCACAGAAAACCGACGTGAAGCAACGCTTGCGTTGTGTTTCTTGCGTCATATGAGTGAGTTTACTGGATGACCAATTACCCCCTCTCCAATTTCCCCAATTTCTGAATCACCAACAATCCTCACAAGGCTAGTAACGCACTTGTAACGCCTCTGGTGTTCCAGGTGTCCATGGGCGACGCCGATTGCTTACGATCAGGTGATCCGTTTGCTCATTTTCCAGCTTATCCCATAAAAAAGACGAGGAGAGGAATTCATAAATCACGGATACATCAAATACGGAAGCATACAACTAAACTAAAATATTATATGCTTCACTGCAAATGCTATAATTACATTATTTGGAACTAAGTGTTGTTACGGCAAAGAAACAATTACTATAATACAATAAACAAGGAAACACCACTAATGAGGTAATTACCATAATAATTCATTAACTCGTCGTATGTCTAAACGAGGATTCATGCGAGACACAATGTATTTTCTATTATATCTTATTCTCATATATATCGGTGCATTTAAGCGGTTAATCACCACGCTTTAAATATTCTTTAGAAAACAAGTGTTTGAAAAACATGATCAACTGAATAATGCTTGTCCAGAAAAGGCGAATTTGAGCGATTCTCTTGCGCGTTTTACGCACGACCGTTGCGTCCACAAAGTATGTGCCAACGCGCGAGCATTTGGGGAGATATTCATTCAGTACGAAACATTGAGTTAAACGCTCGCTCTAAAGTTACTGGACGGAACAAGGCGTCTCTAGTATCTCAACTCGCGCGCAATACCTGCGAATCAAGCGCGAGTCGAGAGTCTGGCGTAGTGCACGCGATTTTCGCGCGTATTTTGAATTCAAGCGTTGCTTGTGGACGCGATGTATTGTTGTCTAGTATCTCACTAACGCGCGAATCATTTCGCGTGAATCGTTTCGCAGCGAATTCGCCCTTGGTGGACAAGGTCTTAGTGTCAGAAATAGAATCGCTATGTGTCAAAATTCTCAATCACAAATCTTGTCCAGTTTATGAAATTTGACTCACTCTGTATTACACGAGCCTCATAAGTAATGTGACAATAGCGGGTGGTACATTTACTTGCACTTTAATTTCAATTAAAAAAAAAGTCTAACAGTATGCTATAGGGAAGGCCGTTGAAAAACAGGCGGACATAATGTCAATTTGAAATTATTGAAGCACCATAATGTCTGTGGCATATTTATAATTATGTGTGTGTACTTTTGACATCGTAATGTATGAAGTGTAATGACGGGCCATGTCACACGACAGATGTCCTTCGTGTCAATGTGTGTATAAGTCTATAGTAGCCAGGTACCACAGTCGTTGTTTCAAGAGACTATTATTGATTTTTTTAATGCCCCAGCCTATAATATAAGATATCTGAAGTTACGGATTTAATTTTAAAATAAAACAAACGATAACGGTTACCGTATTACTAAACTTAAGAAAACCACAGATGTCCTTCGTGTCAGTGTGTATGATCTGCGTGTAAGTCTATAGTAGTCGGGAGCCACAGTCGTTGTTTCAAGAGACTGGTGTCCGCTTTCGTTTCGACGTTCTTGGTTATAGGTAAAAAATATTGACCACTACATCTCCCATTGTTCCAGTACAGAGTAAAAACACCATTTTCATATACCGCAAATTTTTTTTACGTAATACTAACAATAATATTATCACCTGATGGTAAGCGATCAGCGCCGCCCATGGACAACCGCAACACCAGAGGAGTAAAAGGTTGCTGTTGTTGCGTTGCCGGCCTTTTAAAAAGGAGTACGCTCTTTTCTTGAAGGTTTGAAGTTTGTATCAGTTCGGAAATACCGCCGACGACAGATCATTCCACAGTTTTGCTGTGCGAGGCAGGAAGCTACGTGAGAACCGCATAGTTGTGGCCTGCCAACCATCTATATGATGGGGATGCATATACTGTCGTGAGTAAACAAAATAAGAAAACAAAACGTGAAAAATGTAAACAAGCCTTGATGTTCGTTACACAACGCGAAATATAACCACAATGAGGTACAATGTTAGAATATTTCAGTTTTACACTTTTAATATAGAGGGTAGTCGTCAAAACGCTGTGGTGTATCGTGACGTCATATCGCATGTTTTACGATGTACCCTCGCGTTATGAGAGTCACCTGCGGGATTTGAGGTTGGCTTTAGTATTATGCAAGATTCTTATTAATATACCTTTATATCTTTATGTATAGGTGACTGTTGTTCTACTTCGTTGTGTTAAATTGATGGTGTTTTGTTTTGGTGTATGGTGTTTTGTCACAGTCTTATTAATGATATTTATAATATCGTTAAATGAAATGGTTTGTGTATTGTGGAAGTAATGTGTGTAGTGTATTTTTTTATAGTCTAGCTTGTATTAGGAGCTGATATTCGCCAACTAGGAATGTCATTCGTATCAGTATCCTACTAATATTGATGACTGCACGGTTGGTGCGGTATATGGGCAACCGGCTGCTGTGCAACGTGTCGCGTGTTCGATTCCAGCATGGAAGAACACTTTGTATGATCCACAAATTGTTGTTCCGGGTCTGGGTGTGTGTCTATGTGAACTTGTATGTTTGTAAACGCACTCACAACACAGGAGAAAATCCTAGTGTGGGGCAACGTTTTTTTAAAAACAAAAAAAAATAATATTATAAATGCGAAAGTTTGTATGTTTGTCTGTTTGTTAGTACCTACATACTTGACGTCAAAACGACTGAATGAATCGGGATGAAATTTGGAACGGCATAGATTATGGTTTGGAATAACACATAGGCTATTAGACTTTTCGTCCCACAAAAATGCGGATGAAGCCGCTAGTAAAGCTAACGTACAAAATAAATTTCATCATACAATCAAAAATATTTTTTATAATTTGGGCATGTTGATCCAGCTACCACAGCACGAGGCGATATGTCAAGTGGATGGTAGAAGACAAAGTATCAAGGATGTAAATATTCAAGGTTATATACAGATTATAGAGGTAGAGCTACCAACGGTTTTAGTTAGGGTTCCTCTATTATTCTTTGATAGAGGACCGCAACTAGTTTTTTTAGGGGGAAAATCATCGAATGACTTCACGCCTGGGTGAGACGGGAGTTTCAGACTCTTACTGACTAAAAACCACCCTGTTTCTACTCCTGCACTTCGGGCCGGAGCCCCGGCAACCCGTTAAGTCCTCCACGGCTCCGTATCGGCATCAGCCCTATTGGGCCCCATCCGTGGTAAATTCTAGTTACATTAACCCGTGGTATACCGGAACGTAGACCCACGCGAGACCCACTGTGTTTTCTATTGGCACTCATATATTGCCATATATAATTAGGTACAAGATGTTAAACGCATAACTTATATATGGCCCCACCCGTGGTACCCCAACTGGTTAGGATATCTTTATAATCTAATTGTAATTGTTCAAGTACATATTTTGTTAATTAATGATCGTTTACCTAATTTTATTTCATTGTATTTCTACAGATCAAATATTTTCAGGTGGTTGCAATCTTGTAATGGTAACGAAAAAACATATATGGGAAAAATCTTTTTAAAGTAGACCCTTCATACATATTTGGAGAAGACATTGCTATCTAACTAAATGATAAAATATACATATATAAAAAGATGTGATATTACACAAAAAGTTATAGTTACACATTACACATCCCTATTTTTCGCCGATTTCCTATTTAACTCGTCAAGTACCGTCATTATAGACACAATTATAGAACAATAGGTTGCGGTCACCGGTGATCGCTTGGTGTTTGACAGTTTAACCATTTTTAAGGGGGGAAAATCATCGAATGACTGCCCCCGCCTGGGTGAGGCGGGAGGGAGTGTCAGACTCTTACTGACTAAAAACCACCCCGTTCCTTCTCCTGCACGTCGAGCCGGAGCCCCGGTTACCCGTTAGGTTCTCCGCGACTCCGAATCGGCATCGGCCCTATTGGGCCCCATCTGTGGTGGTCTGATGGCTCTTTGAGGCGCGCGCGGAACGCGACGCGCCGTACGCTCGGGTCTGTTTCTGGTCGGACGGGGAGCCACCTATGCTCGCCGTCCGCAGGCCCGCGCTTACGGTGGCCGGAGATCGTCCCGCGATCCCCGACGCCCGGTGTGTCCTTCGCGATGGCTGGGTTGCGAGGAGGCAGCGCTTCGCTGCCTCACGCGTCCCGCCTCCTCCTTAGCTAGCATGACTGCTTCGCAAAAGGAGGAGACGGCATCCCAAACAGTTTAACCCTAAGGTTGACTGGAAGAGAATGCCATATGGCATTAATGTTCGCCTTATGTACCATTACTTGTTTCTGTGTACATTAAAGTTTCAATAAATAAATAAAAAAGTAAGACATTATGAGTATTCTAAACGAAACACGCTTGACTAGTGACTCATTTAAAAAATAATTAAGTAATAAATCAATTATGTATTCAAAACAATATACCATAAACCATATGCGTAAGTAGGTAAATATATAAGTAGATACGTGTCTGATTTATATTATTAAGTCGGTCTTATACACCAAAACTACAAGTCAATTATGAGTTTAATTAATATTCCGAACTTATAAACAAAATTAATTTCCATATATCAAGTCCGTTCTATGTTCGAGTTAATTATTTTCATATACTTAATACATAAACAAAGTAAAGTAATTACAAAAACAAATAAGATTAATTTGTTTTACCGTATAATAGGTGTTTTTTTTTTACCAATAATATTTTATATTTAGGAAACGTCATCAAAGTCTACCTCGTTGGCGAAGTGGTCGCAAATGGGACTGCTGGGTAGGGGGTCTCGGGTTCGAATCCCGAATCGCGCCAAGTACTACTCGGCTTTTAATAAAATTCTCAGTAGTCGCACGGAGTCTGGAATTATGCCCGGTATAT